TCTTACATATTCCTCCAATTCACTGTCTTGGTTCCTGCTTGTCTCTGACTGTCGTGTTCACATCGGATCCGACATGATCAAGGTTTGGTCAGAGATGAGTTGTTGTGGCTTTGGGCTCCTGGTCAGGTTTCCTGTGTTTGAGCTCAGCCAGCACTGATGTTTCCACCAATGGAAACTTGTACTGTGCAGACAGACCACACCACCTTCACCACACAGGTGGAGGAAGACCAGGTAAACAGTAAGACAGCTACAGACTAAATGTTCAAACCTTTTGGTTGATATGTTTAGATGACTGGAGAAGTTTATTTCATGAGTGTGATCAGTAGTACACCATACTAGATAGATATGCAACATCTAGATACTAAATTTAACTAGCAGTCAGTTAGCAAAGTCACACTCACACATATCTATTATCATAACCTACTTGTTTTTGGAGCCACAGCATAAAACCATCTAAGAACTGAGACAAACATTCAGGTTTCACAAAAAAAAGAAAAAAAGAAAAAGAAAAATTCACTGCAATAAAAGTGTGAGGAGTCCAGTGCCCCCTGCTGACCAGGATCAAAGCACTGATGATTTAATCTGAATAAACACACTGAGCTGTGGTTGGGAGAAAAGCTGCCATTTTCTCCCATGTTGTTAGTGTGGTTATGTCCAAGTTCTAAGACAGAATGTTTCAAAACAGAAACATCAGTGATGATAACTTTCACCATAGTCGCCATATTTAACACTTATAGTGAGATGGCAAAAAAAAATATATATATTATTTTTAAAGGTGCATAGCACTAACTACTGTTTGCCTTTAAGGTTGCCTCACTCTGCAAACTGTAGTGACAAACTCGGCGTTCACCACATGAGCCTGATAAAACATGCTGCATTTTTAATCTCATAAGTTTTTTTTTAAAATTTGGTGCTAAAATAAACAGCAGCTGTACTCAGTTCATCTGTTTGCCAGCAGGGAGCAGCTTCCTGTCTACCCTCCATACAAATAACTGATCTAAGCAATCAAATGTCAATAATTGGTTCCTGCAGCACTTGGATGTGGTCATATATGGTATTGAGTTTGAAGAGATCTGTATTTCAAATAAAAAAACTCAGATCTAAGAGGTGTTGCAAAGTAAACGTTTGTTTGCTTGAAAGGCCCACATGCTGCGGTTGGACATAAAAGGTTTGCTTCTGTTCTCTATTCTCTGCAGCTCGAACAATCTGTAAAGCCCTCTCTGCTCTGTGTGTCTAAAGACGTTGGCTTTGAGCTATGACCTTTGCTTTTGGAACCAGATCATAAAGTAGATCTTATTATTTGCAGGTGCAAGCCTTGATGCTCAGATGCTGACTTCAACATGAGACTTGATGTATTTTTAGTTCTGCAGCCAGCTGACTAATACAGAGAACAGAGTGTTGTCGCTGAGTTCGCTGGTCCGGGCCGCTCACATCGACCTCAGCCCCGGTGGTTTGTCGGCCCCACCTCTCCTCCGTCCTGACAGGATGTCTCTGTGGTCATAGCTCTGATGCAGCTTGCTTTTCTCCTGCTGCTTTACAATAACACCTCTACCCTCCGACTTCTTATCACTATTTATACTTAACCCAACATATTAGCTGAGTTTTTCATTACAAATGTGTGAAAATCTTTGTCTGTTTTCTGCTAATGTCTAAGAAACACAACTTCACAATTGCACCGTTTCCATTAAATAAGAAATTAATATTTCACAAGCTTCTGCATCTCTGCACATGCAACTTGAAAACAGAAAACAATCACCATAAAAATCCCCCAAAGTCTAAAAATATCACCACTGGTGCCGAGTGCATCTCTCATTCTCATGTGGTCTCTTGTTTACCCCCTACTCATGTGGTGAAAGTGGTGGTGTGATCTGCACAGCTGAAGTTTCCACTGGGGGAAGCATAAGTTTCAGGTCAGCACAGGACGTCCACCCTGAAGCCCCTCGTCAAGGCTAGATATGGTCAAATCTGGTTTTACAGGACATGCCGTGTAACAAACTGAATAGCAAAAATGACCAGAGCAAATGTCAGAATCGGCTTTGTGAAGATGAGAAATGAGGCGGTGTGAGTGTAGGTGCCACAGAGGGAAATGAACAAGTCCCAAATAGAGCTGGGAAATAAATCAGTTGTCCAGAGTGACAAAGTATCAACATGATTAAATAATATGTCTGACAGGATTTTCAGTAATTTCACTGAACTCTGAGCCAGAACCGCATAGAATTCTGGGAGATGTAGGCAGAGGAAAGGCTTTCTTCAGTCAACCTCTCATGGCCAGCTAAGCCAGGTGGGTGGCATCAACCAACCCACCCACCTAGCTAGCAACCAAAGAGCTGCTAGGTAACTCCCGGGTTACCTAGCGACAACCTGTTGAGCAGTTTCAGGTTTAACCACTGTTCCTCATAACTGTTTCAAGATAATAATAATAATAAAAAAAACCAATATGGAGTTAAAACTGTGGATATAAAAAATGAAAAGGTCATGCCACCAGTTTGGCTGTACGTCAGATATTTAGAACAAAAAAGTAATCAATATTTATCAATATTGACAATAGTTTATATCGACTAACATGAATATATTTTATATTTCGATAAGTTTTTCAGCCATATTATCCAGCCCTGGTCCCAATAAACTTTAAAAAGTTTTCAAAGAAAGATTATTGGCACACATTCATGCAACAAGCATCTGTCACCAATATAGATCATATATTTTTAAAAGAGTCATCAAAAAAAACAGCTAGTAGTCTTTGATCTTCAAAGTTTCCTAAAGCTGGACAGCCTGCTTTGTCTCAGCGAAGGATCTACAGTCATACAGGATGATTTTTACAACAGAGACATTTATAATCCTCCATCAGGTCCACTTTCTTTCCCGTGATGAAAATAGTTACAAAACACTTTCATGAAAACGTTCATCTCCTTTGTTCACAGATCACAGTGAACACATCATGCCACACAGCAGTCCACCAGTTTTCTGCACGCCGTCTCTTTGATGCAACCAACAACTGCAGAGTCATCTCAGTATTTCTGCAGATGACAGGTCTACCTTCTACCGGAAATCTGAGGTGTATAGAGTAAAACGGAACAGTGAGAGTTCAGTAGCTCTAGACTCAGTCTCAGGTGTAACATTAGCATAAACCAAGATTGTCAGGAAAATGGGAGAATTGAGGTCCTTAAAGTCTGAAGTTCTGCTAAACAGATCAACTCTGAGGCCATGATCAACGTCCAGTCAGTTTCTGTTCTGTCTTCAGCTCATCCTGAGCTTATGTAAGTGTAAGTGTTTAAGGTTGAGATCTGCTAGGAGCTAAGGGGAAGTAGAATGATGTAACATCAGATTTAGTTGGCTTAAATAAAATGGGTTTATTATACCATTTTTGAATAGTAAAAGGAAACAGGGAGGAGAGAGAAGGAGAAGACAAGCAGAAAATGGCCCAAGACTAAGAATTAAACCCAGGTGGACCACAGTGAGGACTTCAGCCTCAGCACCTGGTCCCTGTGTTCTACCGGCTGACCCACAGGATGTGACTGCTGGTTGCGTTGCTAAGGAAGTGGAGTCATGGCGAATATCATTGCATAGCAGTGGAAAGAGACACCATGCTTACTCACTATGGAGAGCATGTAAATGGTAAACTACAGGAGGCCGTTTAGGACATTAACTACTTTTTAATACATAATATTGACTATGGCATAAATAATATTTTTTGATTAGCATTAAATATTGTTTATGTATGTGATATTCTCTAAAACCAGCCCACATTCTTCATACACTGGAAGAATGAACTAATTTTGTTCTGTAAGTACAAATTTTTTTGTGAAGTCTAAAAATGTATTTCAGTTGACCTCCTTGAAAATTTTTGTATTTAAATTTATTACCCCAAATATTTTCAATATCCTCTGCTAAGTTTGAGCTTGATTTTTATTTTTGTAAGAATGTAATTAGAATAGTTGTAACATATAATGTATACTTTACAGTAATTTTCTTTGTTGGTGATTGCAAAATATTTATATCAATAAAAAAAAGGTGGAATCGCCCTTAAGCCATTTGCTGAATTGGAAGCCATGTTGGTGTGATGTTGGATTACAGTAAACCGTCAAAAGAACACATCAGTGCATCTAATATATGATACAAATATTGTATGCCAAATATTTTTATTAGTAAAATTTTCTTTAAAGAATAAAGTATGAGTCAAGGATGACCAGGCTACATACAGTTGCCAGCCTATTCAAGAATAACAGTCGGCTATTCATGCTAATGGCTAGCAGAGGAAGAAGGTAATCCAGTGGGTGACCAACTAGGGCATGCTAGTCGCCAGCCTCTCCAAAGCTAACACAGCTGAGTAGCTACTGTTTGATTGGCTTAGTTACCTTGGCCAGTTGCTCATTTACTGGTAACGACCTATCACTAATGAGATCAGTAGCTAGCTTCAGAATGGGTATAGGCTACGACAAGAAAGTAGCCGCTGATGGGTGGTAATAGTCTTTGTTTCGGTGCTGAATCTGTGCTATAGAGTGTGTTCCATATGTTTTCCATTAGGTTACCGGCCAATGCATATTGGTATAACTTGACTGTTATGAAGGATTAAATTAGCAAGATAAATGTCATGTGTTCAACTGTAAACAACAAAGGGGAAAGAACAAATAACCTCAAATTTTTTTGTTGTCTTTTATATATACATGCATTTAGGCTAACACGACTGGTAGCTATGAACATGTGACGTTTCCTTAGTTGGAAATGTGTCACTTGGTACTAGCCAATGAACTGCAGTCTTGTCTCTTAAGAGTTGAGAAGACATGTAGTTTCTTTTCACTCAACATTAAAATCCATACACAATGGCATCTGCACAGCTGGTCTTCCTGATATGTTTTCTTTTAGGAGTAAAGGGTAAGATTTGTTTCTAATTCCTCAAATACTTCTCTTGTTAGGTTTTGCTTTCTGAAACAGGCTTATGTTAAACAACTTGATTCCTTTTTGAATTTTCACTTTTTTCAGTTCAGGAAACACATCTGACAATGTCGTCATCACTGAATCAAGAGACTGGTTTTCTGTTGGCTCGTGTTGGAGAAAAAGTGAAAATGCGATGCACCTATGAAGGTAATGAGCCGGCGTGGATCTGCTGGTACATGCAGACTCTTGGACAGAAGCCAAAGCTCATGTCCAGCATGTTTGTGTACGGTACAGAAGTCACCTTCTATGAGGAATTCAAGAATAGCTCACATTACGTCATAGAGAAAGAAGAACATTTGCATTATTTGACAATAATAGATCTAAAAATGTCAGACTCAGCTACATACTACTGTGCACTTAGCTATAAACAAGTTCTGTATTTTGGAAAGGGAACCACAGTCAGTGTTAAAGGTCCAGGTTTTAACATCCAAGCTTCGGTCCATCAGTTGGAATCTGAAACCATCCAGCCAGGAGCCTCTGTGACTCTGAACTGTTTGGTACAGATTGATAGTTGTGATGGAGAACACAACGTTTACTGGTTCAGGAACTCAGAGGAATCTCAACCAGGACTCATTTACACCTATGGAAGCAGGAAGGATCAGTGTATGAGCAATTCCAGCACAAAAAGTCAAATATGTGTGCACAGCCTGTCGATGAAGAACCTGAATGCGTCTCATACTGCAACCTACTACTGCGCTGTTGCTTCATGTGGACATGTTGTGTTTGGAAATGGGACGAAGCTGAGCCTCTCATGTAAGTACAAGTATTTTGTGTTTCAAAGTCAAATCTTGAATGCAGACAAAAACAAAGTTATTCTGTTATTCTGATAGGTGAGAAAATGCACCTGGTATATTTCTTGGCTGGATCTTTGACAACTCTCCTTGTTGTTTTGTTGATTGCTTTGGGACGCAAGCTAAATAAAAAGTACTGCCAAAGTTCAGGTAATATAATAAAGAATGTCTCATTCCTTTCTTGTTCAGTGACAATATATTTTCAATGAATAATTTTCTGTGTTTCATAACCAGAACCCGAACCTACTACTGCCACTGAGGTGAGATTCTTCTCAATAAGTTACAGCCTAAAATTACACCTATTATACAGTTAATCTAAAAAATTATTCATACATTTGGCATATTTGGATTTAAATTTACTTTCATTCAACCAGGAAGTGTAAAACATTTTTACACTTCCTGGTTGAATGAATTGATAGGAATTGAAAATTATATGTAAAAAATTGGACAATTGTGTCAATATTGAAGAAAAATATTTATCTGCTATTTTTATCTTTACTGGTAATAAATCAATCAATATCTTAATTCTTGACTACAGTTTTGTGAGTTTCTCTTGGTATTTGACGTCTAAGTCTTTGAGAGTGAAAGGCCTCCTTGAATTTACACTAATCTCAGGCCAGTACAAAATGTAAATATTTCCTCCAGTCAATAGAAAAACATTAATTAAATATAATAATAACTGTAAAATTAAATCTGCCAGGCGTATAAATGGTTTTGGGCTTAGCTGTGTTTTTTTTATTTAATTTTTTTATTTAATGTTTTACAATTAATTTTTTTCTGCTTTTATTGTCATTTCCAGGATACCAACCAAGACACAGACAGAATCCACTATGCATCAATAAATGTTGATCACTCTAATAGATCTAGAAGACAAAGAAGCAGCACAGCGACTGAGTGTATTTACTCCAAGATAAGTCAGGACAAATGAATTATTTCTTCCTGAAAATCTTTATTGCCTATTTGGTTACATTTGATTAGCAGGTTCAATACACTTTGTTGATGCTCAGACAAGATTTTGGTATGAATGTCATTAGAGCAGCTGGTGTCACATTGTTTTCCATCTTGTCCTTTACGTTGTCATATTTGAAAAAAAAAAAAAAAAAACTTTCATGGGTCAGAAAGTGAAGAAGACGAGACATCTTTTGGAAAATCAAACTCACACCTTTGAGTTTGATGTTTGATTCAGGGTTCCGTGTTCATACAGGGTCTATATGTGGTTTTCTTATTTCATGGTTTTAAGATTAATGTTCAATGCTCTTTACAAAGTCTGTGAGTGCCCACAAATGCTTACGTTATTATTAGCTGAATTAAATAGACATAGCCACACTCAGTGGTGGGTGAAAAGCGTCTGCATGCTGTAATCAGGTAAAGTTACCACTGTGTCTCTCTTTTGGGATGTACCTTTGTTTTCTGTTTTTAACTTAATCTTTTTTTTTAGTAAATAACTTTGTGGAACCTAAGGTGTGTGATTTGTACACTGAAGTTTCAACCTACAAAATTTTGATTTTGATAAAAAACCACATAATTTATATGTTATGTTTTTGTCATGATGTAGAAGATTTTATATAATAAGGATTTTTTTTTTTAATTCTTGTGTTTCTTGGCGTATGTACAGCCAAAGGTTTTTACTGCTGCTTTTCTCTCTCCGAGGTAAATAAATGCAATTATTGCTGTTATAATGTGTTCTACTTAGCAAATAAATGAAATGTCAAAGTAAGAGACACAGGCTACACTGTATAATCATTATATACAATACATATATTATATCAAGTGTTTCACTATAACTTACAGTATTAATCGCAGATGCATAATTTACTTCTGAAGTTTGCTGTGTAATATCTAACAAACAAAGTAACATTCCTTTATAATGGGAGAACGTATCTGTTTGATTAGACAGGTTCCTTTGAGCTTATCAGTAGATCGTTAACTGTTGCAGATTCTTAGTTTGGCAAGGCAGATTTATTTATATGGTGCATTTCAACAAGGAAAACTTCAAAGTGTTTCACATGATGAAAACATAAAACAGCAAACAAAATATTACATAGCAGTGGCACAAAAAGGAAAGCAATAAAAAGTTGGAATGCAGATTAAAATGAAATTTTTTTCACTTAATATAGATCAAAGGTGAGTTAACAAAGGGGTTTTTAATACTAAAGGAGCTCAGTTTTTAAACAGTTTTGCAGTTTTCTGGATGTTTGTTCCAGATAAAAGGTGTATAGAAGCTGAATGCTGCTTCTCCATGTTTGGTTCTGGTGCTTGGGACGCAGAGCAGACCAGTACCAGAAGACCTAAGTGGTTCTGGATCAGTTGAAACTGATTCACTTTGTAGGCAGACCTGTGAAGACACAGTTGCAGTGATCAATGTGACTAAAGATGAACGCAAGCTGAGACATTAGTCCTCTGATCCTGGAAATGTTCTTCAGGTGATAGAAGGCCAAGTGCTGGGAATTACATTTGACATTAATGTTTGGCTAAATAAATATGATTAACAGTTTATGATTTATGAAACTACCAACTAAGACAACATTTCTTCAGTCGAATTGGAGATGCCATCCACAAGCTGGAGCCAGAAGTCAAAGTCAGGTAAAACACATTTATGTGGACACATACAGCCCAACTGAAAGCATGTGTCAGGTACAGCAGCTTACCCTGATGTGTGTGAATGTCCAGTGTCAGAAGAAATAACTTGCAGCTGCGCCTGGGCGGGATGTTTGGATCTGTGTGACTGTGTAGCTAAGCAACCACCAAGCAGTTCCACCCTCAGTTTGACAGTGCAATTATTTTTCTCCTCAATAACATGTTTAAGTACACCTTGAATAATAGATTATAACATAGCATAAAGCTTCACATTGAACAATAAAGCTAATAAAAAAAAAATAATTGTAATGATCACAATCGACTATTGAACATCCCTTGTGTGCAAGGTCGCCTGTTTTACTGGCTTTTTTCATAAAGGTCTTCCATACCATCTAAATGTATACCTAAACTAAACCTTAAACGGTAACACTTTATTTGAAGGGGTGTGCATAAGACTGACGTGACACTGTTATAAACATGATATAATATCTGCCATGAACATGAAGAAGTCTTTATGAATGTTTATGACAGTTGCCATGAAGTGGCATTCGGTAAATAATGACACTTTTAATGCAAAGTTGCTCTAAAAGTTGCATTAAAAGTCCATTAAAAGTGCTAACTTTGCATGATTTTGTAAATTATGATAATTTAATTCAAATAAAGTGTTAATATAAAAATTATTTCAGAATTTAACCTTTTTTTAGTGTTTTTTTTTTCAGTTTCACTGGTCATCATACCATTGCTCCTCTGTTAAGCCTCTAGCAATGTTTTTACCAGCACTGCACTGAGAAGTAGATTGTATAATGAACTCAACAGACATGCAGTTTTACGTCCTGTTTGCTAGTTGCTGCTGGCTAGTCTGAAGGAGCTGAATGGGGCAGTGGTTGAGGAGGGCTGCTCTGTCAAGGAAACTGAAGCTAGGAGGATCTTCATCCTCCAAGGCGGTTCTCGGTTACATCAGGCATTTTGCCAAGCTGAATGGTTGCCACGGAGATCAAAGGATTTTGCAAACATGCATGAAAGAATCAAAGCAACACTCCAAGCATGTTTGACAAGGGAATAATAATAAAGCAAGATGCAAAAGATTTTACATAATACTTCCCCTTTAAATCCATTACTTGTTATTTAGTCAGATGTCATGATTTCACTTAAGGTTTAGGTATAAATTAATTTACAGCAGCAGAGTTCATTCGACTGTAACTGAACTAATATTCTCAAGAACAAACATAGACACCAGAGGCAGGTTTGAGCACGTGATTATGTTTCCAAAGTAGGACACATTGCATCACTTTATGTTAACCAATCAATGGCAGACTAGACCCTTAAGAGAGGAGAATGCTTAAAAGATACTTTCCATTCACCACAATAATCTGAAGATAATGGCATTTACACACTATGCCTTTTTTCCAACATGGCTTGTCCTTTGCTTGGGTGAGTTTTTGGTTGATTTTAATATGGGCATTCTTAATTGCATGAATTGTCGACTTTATTTCATGAAATGTGTCGTTTAAATTTGGTTGACTTTTAATTTTTTTTTTTCACTCTGATTTTCTATTTAGTTCAGGAGACTCACCTGACATCACATTCATCTGTACACCAGGAGAGCAGCTTCACATCAGCCCATGTCGGTGACAAAGTGACCTTTCGATGTTTCTACAAAGGTGAGGATTCAGCATGGATCTGCTGGTACAAACAAAGCCTGGGGCAGAAGCCAAAGCTCATTTCGAGCTTCTATAACTATGGAACAAAAAAGACTTTTTATAATGAATTCCAGAACAATGGTCGTTTCCAGTTGGGTGGAGAGAATCACACTTACTACCTGACGGTTTCGGATCTACGTGTTTCAGACTCAGCGACTTACTACTGTGCAGTTAACTATGCAAAGGTTTTGACTTTTGCAGAGGGAAATACAGTTAGTGTTAGAGATTCGGGTTCTGACATTCAGGCTTCGGTCGATCAGCCGAAACATGCCACTGTCCTGCCGGGAGCCTCTGTGACTCTGAACTGCACAGTACAAACTGGGAGCTGTGGTGGAGAACACAGAGTTTACTGGTTCAGAAACTCTGATGGATCTCCACCAGGACTTGTTTATGGACACGGAACCAAGAACGAGCAGTGTGAGACAAATCCCTACAGACAGACACACACCTGTGTGTATGACCTGCCTGTGGAGAATCTGGATGCGTCTCATGCTGGGACCTACTACTGCGCTGTCGCCTCCTGCGGTCACATCGCTTTTGGAAATGGAACCACGCTGGATTTCACAGGTCAGTTATAATCCTGATGATTTATGAATTGCAGGTGGTAAATAGAGTAATAACATCTCTATTAGTATTCAGTGCTTCATTGAGAAACCTGCATTTATCAATATCTACTCATGCTTGTTGTCTCTCTTAAAGAGAAAGGTCATTTAATACAAACAATGAGTAGCTACAAAATTGTGTGAAAAAAAAGGTAATCTACGGCAGCCTGGGTGTTCTGCTAACATATTTGGGGTAAATAAATAAATAAACTGCCCATTATAATTTCCATTTAAAATAGCTAAAATTACTAACATCAGTCAACCAGAGGAAAATCCTTATTCAGTATATTTAGAGAGGCCAGCTCAGTTTTAACTTCTAACATTTAGTTTGGTGTTTTTCCTGATAAAAACAGACTCTGAGTCCATCAGATTAATAAGCCAAATTGGTTTATTAATCTGGTAAAGGGTTTGAAGGTCTTAAAGATTTGAAATCAGCTAACGCACTGAGGAAGACTGTCTGTGGGAAAATTTCCACACAGCTGGTAACACGCCTGGCTGTCCTAACAAGTTCATTCTGAAAGCAAGCCGCTAAATAGTAAAAGTGGTCTCACTTTTAGGTATGTCATGCCTTTAATGTCAAAAATAGTTAGCTTAATTTTCACGAGAGTTGGGAACATGGTTGTGAGTGTGGATTTATTCAGAGGTTGAAACGAGCCGTTCACGTTGGAAAGCCCTTCAACACCTCACAGCCCAAAGTTACTGATGGACTTTCTGATTCCAGAGACCAGAAGCATCTCAATGAGCAACAGTTTGTTTAGTCCAATGGATAGAACAAGGAAAATGTCCGACGTTTAATTTAAATTTAAACCCCAAAATAATTGGTTTTATTTCTTGGCTCTTTGCAGGAGTAGAAAACATGTTGGTGTACCTCTTTGTGGGATCTCTGTTTGGGTGTGTCACCACCATCCTGGTTGCTTTACTGATTATCTTTGTGAACAGGAGAAAGAGAAGACAACTTCACCAAGCCACGGGTAAAGTGGGAAACATTTATCATTCACTTTATGGCTACAAGTATAATTTTAATGAAATTTTTTTTATGTTTTCAAAACTAGAGTCCAGACTGCGTGTGGCCCAGACCCCAATGACCGAGGTAAGAATAACCAACGAATCACAATCTGAAATTAAATTTATTTTTATTTTTTATTCATTTAGAATTTTGTTCAAACATCCATATTTTTAACCGTCCACGTATAACTATCATGTATTTCCAGGATAATCACAGAGACTCAGGCGACCTCCACTATGCATCTATAAATGTTGAGTCGTCCAGCAGATCACAGAAACAGAGGAGGAGCAGCCAGTCTGTCTGTGTCTACTCTACTGTAAACCATGAGAAACAAAGAGTCTTTACTGTTCAGAATCGCTGAACTTTTCATACGAGGTGAATGTTTTTTCTGTCCTCCTCTGAATTAAGATAAACTTCGCAAGGCTTAAATAAGACATCAAACTTATTTCTTTAGGATCTTTTTTTAAACTAAGGTAGCTTTCTATTTTTGTGGTTTATATTCTTCTGTTCACTTCGTATGAATGAGTCAATGAATTATTTTTTCTTGACTTCAACAATATTTCTTTTCGTACATGATTCTATCTGTGTTTTCCCACAATAAAGGTGTTTGGTTTGTGTCTGCTTGCAGTTTATTAAAGCCAAACTTTTTTTTCAGTGTTTCAAACACAGATAGCATTACATCAACCTGCTGTTGCTGCATTGGCTCGTTTTTTTTGACAAGCTAATGAGGAACAAAGATCAGGATAAAATGGGTTTTATGGCACAAAAAAGTATAATTCAAATATGATACTCAGTCTTTTAAACTGGCCACTGAGCCTGAGGTACAAACATTTGTTTTGGAAGGTCAATTAGAGGTCATTTTACTCAGGCTACATAAACTCACTACATTTTATATCTCCACCGAAACACCTTGTCTGTCATGTCCCAAGTTTAGTGATTTTCAAACTCCTAAAACTGACACAAATGACACAAATACAGAATCAAAATGTTTTGAGATCACAATATAATAACAGTCTACAAGGTGAAACATCGTAAAATCTAATTGTTTCTTCTCTAGAACGTTTCACAGACATATAGATCACAAAGTGCTTCATAAAGGCAAAACAATTAAAACAAAAACATAATAATAAAAACATTAATCATAAGCCTGTCTGAATAAAATATCTTTAGTTGTTTCTTAAGAGCCTGAGCAGCAGGTAAGACGCCCCCACCTGGTAGAGGATTGTGTTATTGCCAGAGTTTGAATAAAAGACATTATATTAAAACATATCTGTAAATAACAGAAACATTTAAGAATGCTATTAGTGGTAATAAGCATATAATAAATATTGTACATAAAATAATAATACTGCATTTTTTATTTGGAAGTTCTGATCTGAACATATGTAATAATACTTCAGAAAAGATGGCCTATCAGCCATCACCCTAAGCTGAGACTCATGTTACTTTCTGTAATAAAAAAAGATTGCCTTAAATTTAAATCTGTCAGGGGTTTGAATAAATCTGAATTTAACTTTATGTCTGTGTGTGCGTGTGTGTGTGATAACTACTTGAATATAAATACAATGCCCTTGACTGTGTGTCATAAAAGTCTACCTGCTTTATTGGTAATAAGTCCAAGTACACTCTAAAAAGTGTATTTTGGCTGTAGTTCTGGACTTTTTTACATTAATCTCTCTTAATTTGTTTGGGTTAATGATGACAACTTACATTTTTGTGTTGAATTAACTTAAAAGTTACACATTTTAACTTAAAGGAACTTTTTACTTTCACTTTACTTGAAACAATTAAGTTCAGTGCCGCGTTCATATCCTACGTCTGACGTCATGACTCAAGCTTCGGTACATGCTTCATCATGAAGCACCTGGTCAGTACAGGGTGCTGTAGTAGCTGGTCAGTACAGGGTACTGACCAGCTGCTGCAGCACCCTGCAGTACAGGGTGCTGTAGCAGCACCCTGTACTGACCAGGTGCTATGGTGATGCAGGGGTAGAACACAACCCACATCAGGAGGCCTTAGTCCTCAATACGGCCATCACAGGTTCAATTTCTGACCTGACGATCTTTACTGCATGTCTTCCCCCTCTGTCATGACCTGTCTAATTGCTCTAAAAATAAAGCCCATATCTTTAGAAAATATCTTCCGAAGCTTTATTACTTCAAATAAAGATATTTTCATTAGAAGAAAATATCCTTTATTAATTAATTTATTTATTTGAAGTAATTTGACTTAAATTTGTCAAATTAAACCAGCTTAATATATTAATTTAGATCAACTTCATTGAATTACTTGTTAGCAATTGAAGCAATTTAATTAAGTTGGTTCAGCTATTTCCTTTTTACAAAGTACAATCATGTTCCACATCAGGAAACAGTTGAATTTCTGTTTTTTCTTGAAAAAGCATTTTACCATCTCTGGGTAAATAAATACTCTCCACATTATCACATGTAAAACATACATCCTTCTGTCTACTTTACTGACTCAGGTTTTACGCCCAATACCAGGTTCAAGAATCATAGAGCACAACTGTGGAGGGAGGCGGCACTGAAAATGACCTCAGACTGAGGCATGCACTCTGATTGGCTAGTCAGACACAGACCTAAAAAGGGAAAAACTTGCAGAGATTCATTTCTTTCATCACTGCATTTTAAGCACAATGACTCCTCCAGCCTTTCCTTTGTATTTAGTTTCTCTACTTGTTGTGATATCGGGTAAGTAGAGTTTTTTATGATTCTTTCATTCTCACCGTTCACAGCTCCTTCCATTGTAATTTCATCAGATTTCTTGTTTGTCTATATGGTTTTGTCTGCAGCTCATAAACCAGCTTCCACACATTTGTCATTACTTATGGAATCAGCTGAAGTTGGAGGCAGTGCAACTTTGCAGTGCCTCTGTTGGGATGATGCAGCTCTGATGTTTTACTGGTACAAACAAACTCAGGGGAAGGAACCAAGGCTCATCTGCAATTTCTACAAGTATAGCAATAAAAGCCGTTTTGAAGATGAATTTGACACCTCTCGCTTCTCTTTAGATAGTGAAAACCACCGGAACATTTTGCTGAACATATCCGATTTGAGGATGTCAGACTCAGCGACTTATTACTGTATAAAGAGCAACATGGCTGACTTCAAGTTTTGTGAGGGGACTACACTCATTGTGAAAGGTTCTGGACTAAACCTCCCAACATCACTGCAACAGTCTGAGACGGAGCCCATCCGATCACTGAACTGCTCAGTTCAAACTGGGAGCTGTGGTGCAGAGCACAGTTTTTACTGGTTTAGGAACTCTGGAGAATTTCAGCCTGGGTTGATTTACAGCCAGGCGGGCGATAAGAATCAGTGTGAGAGGAAACGCAAGACATCAACAAACAGCTGTACTTTCAACTTGCCAATGGAGAACCTGAATAAGTCACAAAATGGAGCTGATTTCTGTGCTGTTGCTTCATGTGGACACATACTGTTTGGAGACGAGACCATCGTTCACTCTGAAGGTAGGAAAGTCACCTCAGTTCAAGAGTCCTGGAACAATAACTCCAGGCCTTCATTTATTCAACAGCATCCAGATTCTGTAGCTCTTCTTGTAAATTGTTAGCAGTTATTGAGTTATTTACACCTGACTCACTGAGGGGTTTCTAGTACTTTCATTTGAATTCAAATCGTTCAACCAAGAGATTGTACCTAGATCATTGGTAATGGAGGATTTATTTATTTATTTATTTTTTTGTATTTTACTCTTATAACATTGTATGGGTTCAAGTTGTGGGTTGATGGTTTAATAGGACATTGAGCCTATCAGATCTGAGAATGGATACATTGTAATTATGTTCTATCTATCTATCTATCTATCTATCTATCTATCTATCTATCTATCTATCTATCTATCTATCTATCTATCTATCTATCTATCTGTCTATCTGTCTGTCTGTCTGTCTGTCTGAAATCTAAAGAGCACATTGTACTCTTAGTTGTTTTTCCACTGTTGGTAGTTGATTTTGTACCACATTTTGATCTAATCTTGTCTCCGTCTTGTTCTCGCAGAGGGACAGATAAAAGTTTTCGGTAACACTTTATTTGAAGGGGGGTGAATAAGACTGACATGACACTGTCATAAACACCTGTCATAAACATGAATAAGCCTTCATGAATAGTTATGACTGTTGTCATAAAGTGTCATTCGGTAAATTATGACACTTTTAATACAAAATTGACATTATTCAAAATGTCTTTGTTATGACAACTTGACATTAACCAAAAAATCATTACTGATATAAATTTGTTATAAAAGTATTGATGATTGCACTTTAAAAATTAGGTAACTTTATGTTATTAAAGGTAAAGTTTAAACAGTAATGATTTCCTGGTTAATGTCAAGTTGTCATAACAAAGACATTTTGAATAATGTCAACTTTGTATTAAAAGTGTCATAATTTACCGAATGACGCTTTATGACAACAGTCATAAATATTCATGAAGACGTATTGATGTTTATGACAGGTGTTATGTCATGTTTATGACAGTGTCATGACAGTCTTATTCAACCCCCTTCAAATAATGTGTTACCAAGTTTTCTGTTATTATAATTTCTTTGCAAATGTGGAGACGTTATCCTAAAGACACAAACCAAAATCTGTTGTGTTTTCTGCTGCTCGTCTCCCAGGTGACTCTGCCTCCATTGTCTTGGTTTATCTCCTGAGTGGAGCTTTGTCATTCACCACCCTGCTAGCAGCTACGCTGGCCTTCTCAGTGTTAAGACTGAGCAAAAGACACAGTCAGCAAACAGGTAGCTGTTGTCATTTAAAACTCTGCATAGCAGCTACAGAGTGAGAGTAAATGTGATTTTATCATCCTTTACAGATGACAGTGACACATTTTATACAAGAAACACTCTAACTGCTCAGGTAAGAATCATCCTCTCAAGAGTTATAGTCTACTTCTGTTTCAGTGCTGTATTTTCTCTGCTTTATATTTTGTCTGCAGCAGCTCCAGGGTGGAGAAAACCCCCAATATGCTGCTGTGAACGCTATGAAACAAAACATGTCAGAAGGAGCAAAGGAGACCTTCAGTGAATGTGTGTATTCTGCTGTGAGGCATTAGAGTTCTGTAGGTGGTGCTGATGTTGATGATTGTGAAAAACATGTTTGTCTTTATCTGACTTTATCACAGGGTCTAAAGGTGATATGTAAACTTGTAATAAAGTTTTGTACAAAGCTAACACCTGCTGTCTTTGATTCAGAGCGTGAATGTAGGGAATAAGAGAGGCGAGACAGCAGCAGCTACGACCCGACTGCTGAATACCGACGGGACGTTTGGCTCCCAAACGGCTCGTAATCTATGATCATATGCGACCCCATATTCAAACCAGAGCAGTCGCCATTAACATGTTAACACAAGTGATTCATCTGAAAACTTGAAGGTGTTAATGATTTTGAAAAACTAAAAAAATTGAAAACAATAATTGCAACATGTCCGATGTAAGTCAGAAAGCTGGAAGGTCAGAAAAATTATGAGATAGAAGGACAGAAGAAAAGAATAATAGGAAGCAAGAATTCCATAAGATAGCAGGAAAAAAGGTAGGAAGGAGCCAAGGCAGAAAGGAAAGAAGGAAGAAAAACAGGACACAACAGAAAAAGAGATTAACCGTATAAGGAAGGAAGGTAGGGAGGCTGATGAAACTATGACATCACTACTTTTGAATTGGAAATCCTACAACAAAATTATTGAATTTTTTCAGGGTATTTCCTATACAGCCAGACATTAAATCACTCTGATTAATTACAGTAAAATGAAATGCAAAGGAATGAAAAGTTACAGGACTGAAGTAATCTAAACCCCAGTTGCTGTTAAAGACATTTTGGAGGCAACTTCTATTGATAACTAACAATAATAAACTTTAAATCATTGTTTTGGCAATGCTTCTGTAAGAAAAAAAAAATTAACATTGACTTCTCAGGTGATAAGTGATCACTGGCTACATTAACTACTTTAGTTCCTTCTGGGTGCTGAAGATAGAATAAAAAATAATGTGTTTAAAAGGTAGTAAAATTAAAAAAAGTAAACTCTTGCATCAAACAGAAAAGTGCAATAGAGTTTCAAAAACTGGACTGCAACAGCAGGTGAAATGATTTATTTTGATTTCATTTGTGGCTGCTATGTAAAACTACATAACCCAACATGCAACACTGGACTTAATGGCTCTTTCTGATGTAAATACAAATGCAAATCATGACAAAGAGCAACAGAATCCCACTTCTGAACACTGAGAGCCAGAAGAAGATTCCCATCTGGGACAGCTGTTCTTCATCACGGCGCCTGACGAGCAGCTCGCTCCCAGAACCAAACAGCATCTTCCCACAGGAGGCAACAACACAGTAATAAGTTCCTGCATCAGATGAGCTCAGGTTGTTCTTCTGTAAATGGTACACACAGCTCTGTTGGGCAGAGGTAATTTCACACTGACTTTTGTGTGTGTGGAGAACTGCTTGGTGAGCTCCATGCCGGAACCAGAGGACAGTGTGTCCTCCTTCACAGGCCCCAGTGTCCACTGTACAGTTGAAGGTCACTGAGCTGCCAGGCTGGAGGGTCTCAGAGTTTGGCTCTTGGACTATTTCCACACGATTTGTTCCTGTAAACAAATCACATTCAGAGTTAACTGCTTATGTAACACTCAAGTTACTTTACCGAAACTTAAAGGAGATTAAATAACTTAATAACCAGAAGGTTTTGTAACGATCAGAACTTGAGGACCCGAAATTTCAGTCAGACACAGAATAAAAGTAAAGTACTTTAATTAGGGATGGGGTAAAGGACAGGCAACCAATAGAGTTCCTTTCAGAGGGTCGGGCAGAGAACGATGGTCAGGGCACAGAAAAAGGTTCCAAACTCACAAACGATCACAGGCAGACTAAATCCAAGGGCGAGGCAAGAGGCAGTGGTCGGAAGGCAGAAACAGGGTCAGGTCCAGGAAACAGAGGCCAGAGGAGTATCCAATGAGGGCTAGGCAAGGCAGGGAAATCCGAGGGGCAGAAAAGTGTTCAGATCGTGGTCAGGTCAGGAAGGAACGCTGGATATTTACTCACACGGTGGCTTTCAAAAATCTGGCACCGTCTGCCCTCCTGAGAGTGAATATAACTGCTGGTGACCAGGTGGGAGACATGAGCCTGATTGCGCTTCAGCGCAGCAGCATGCAGGTGAACCAGATAAGCTTGATGAGAGGTGAGTGCAAAGGAGGAGAACATGGCAGGCAGACGGGCCAGAAATATTACAGGTTTGGCTGCATATAGTCTCGTTCATGAAATGAATCAGATTCAGACAAAGGGTTATGGTTTTGAAAGTTGCCGGCTTGTGTATTTTGAAAGAAAATTTCAAAACATAAAGTACAAATATTGGACATAAATGTTTCCCTTTGGTACCAACAGTATCACAATGAGAGTAGTTACTTTAAAATCTCACCTGGGTGCATCCGTCTAATTATACAAATCAGAATTCAGTTCAAAATGAAACTATTTAATTTGACAAAATAAGTCTCACAACTGAATTGATCTCAGCTGTTTGCAACAAAACATTAGTTCATATGGATGGTTGCAACTTGCCCGCGCCACGTCCACTTCCTGCCACTTGGATGTGTGAAGTCCATAGGCGTCTTTAAAGTTTTAAGCAAATGTCCAAAAGTGGAGAAGAATGTCTGAGTACGTGTGTGTGTGTGGGTGTGCGTGTGTGTGTGTGTGTAAAAGGGAGACAGAATGGCGTGGAAAGGATTCGAGTTGCAGCCGGCCTGCCACACTGTGCAGTGCAACAAGGGAAGAAGTCGACTGGCTAGCTGTCAATAACAAACATCAACATACATCAGGTAGTAATAGAAAGTCCTCTCACAGGAGGACAGCAAAAAAAAAAAAAAAAAACCCTGACACTTCTTTTCATGATTCTCTCCTTCGTTCATTTAGCAGTTCAACACTCAAGTAGCACCAGAAAGGAATGAGGAAGACCTGCGTTCTGAGACTGAACAAGGCACCATTTGGAAGCAGCTCATTGGCTAAGAACCAATCTAAATCACACCATGAGTACATATAGTATTAGTAAAAATACCAGACAGTCAAAGGCCTTGGCAGTTTGATTTACAGCCACTAGGGGGTTGACTGTAATGCTTCAACATCCTTAGCAAAGTTAGAATGGAGCTTTCAGACTCCTGTCCTTCAATGAACTTGGCCAAAACTCTAGTTGTATTTCCATTACAAATGGGTGCAAATCTTTGACTAGATTTAAAACAGTACAAATTCATTCTTTAACTAAGAGCAAGGATATTACTAAAGTAATATGAAAAAAAAAGGAAATCCCATACCTTCAACATTCAAAAACACCCCTTCTCCAAACTCCACTGAGTTGGAGTAGGAGCTTCCGCAGTAGTAAGTTGCTGAATCTGAGAGCTGGACATCAGAAATATGTAAATGATTAATTCCTTCACTTCTTTCCACAGAGAAACGGGGGTTCTTCTCCAACCAGTGGAAGACTTTGGACGGTTCGTCGTATTTGTAAATGTTAGACAGGAGCTCCGGTCGTTTTCCTAATTTTTGGCGGTACCAGGAGAAGTGCATCGCTGACTGACTGCTGTAGAAGCAGCGGAGCTGAACATTTTCCCCAGCAATGGCAGATCTCACACCAGCATCTTGTTTGACTGGTCCTGATTGGATCACAGCTGTCAAATGAACTGGGCCAAGAGGACAGATGATAAGCTACAGTTATTTCCCTGTAGGTTCCTTTTTTAGCAAAGAATACTTGGTTCATACTTACAGACTCCACAGAGAATGGCACACAGCCGCATTGTGTCAGAGCTCCTCGGGACTAAATCATGTTGAGCAGAACAGCAGACAACAGCATAAAAAACGGGGTTACGTTTGATTGGCTTAGAGAATCAAACTGCGTTTCATTTCAAAACCTTGGCCTGAGCAGGAAACAAATCAGCCAACGCAAACATGCTGGAGCAAATGTAGAGGAAAAAATATTTCAACAAAGTCCCGTCCGAAATCATTAAGTTGAAAATAAAAAAATTATTGTGGTAACACTTTATTTGAAGGGGGGTGAATAAGACTGTCATGACACTGTCATAAATATGACATAACACCTGTCATGAACATGAATAAGTCTTCATGAATATTTATGACTGTTGTCATAAAGCGTCATTCGGTAAATTATGACACTTGTAATACAAAGTTGACATTATTCAAAATGTCTTTGTTATGACAACTTGACATTAACCAGGAAATAATTACTGTTTAAACTTTACCTTTAATAACATAAAGTTACCTAATTTTTAAAGTGCAATCAGTAATACTTATATAACAAATTTATATCAGTAATGATTTCTTTGTTAATGTCAAGTTGTCATAACAAAAATAATGTCAACTTTGTATTAAAAGTGTCATAATTTACCGAATGACGCTTTATGACAACAGTCATAAATATTCATGAAGGCTTATTCATGGTCATGACAGGTTTTTATGACAGTGTCATGTCAGTCTTATTCACCCCCCTTCAAATAAAGTGTTACCATTATTGCTAATATTAATATCACATGACATCAACAAGATTCATTTTTAATCTTGCAGTTGTTTTGCAGAACTTAGACGATGCAGTCGGGTAGCATCAATGTTACCCATCCTGCTCTGAAAACATCTTTGTTGTTTAGGTCAGTTTAATTGCCTCTTATTAAGGACCACAGAATTATGACATATTAACCTCATTTTACAGTGACAGTAACAAAAACCATGAACTGTGTCATGATGTGTGGCTAAGAAACATTTTTACTTCCTCTTTCCGTGTCACAAAAGGTCAGAAAATATACTCCAATTTTCATGTGCTGAAAAAAAAACTGTTCAATAAAACCTAAATCAACCTAAAACAACTACATGTACTCTTTTAGACACTGATAACACTGAGACCATTTCTGATAGAGTTATTGGAACCACGTCTGTTAAACCGTGAACTGTCACTATTTCTGCAGCTGTTACAGAGATGTTGTCAAAGACAACTGCAGGTGCTGCCCAACACCACCAACATTTCTTTGAATACTTTGCTGCTATATTGACAACCTGCAGGATCGGTATTATGACCACTAGTAAAGTCCTGTGTGTAAGCAACCACAGCCATCATCAGTATCGCATTCACCCCAGCCCTGCTTGGTCCGCTTTAATCCAACTCTAGTCCATTTGTTTGAGGAGATGTGAATGCATAATCAAACTCTGACATAAATCAAAAAAGCGAAGTCTGAATTTGGTTCGCTCCAAAAGCAGGAAGTGGACTATAGTGCAGGGTATTCTGGGTAAATACAACCAAACATAGAGTTTGAGTCTATCGCCAGGGGGCTCTTGGTCTTTTCACAAGAAAAAGAGAAATCCTACAACCGCTAAAATCTGACGCGGTCCTTCTTGGTTTACATTTTCTGAAGAAGGAGGTTATGTCTTCTTCAGAGGTTTTTGTGTTGTTTCCTTCAGTGGTTCTTGGTGCAGTGCCATCACAAATGAGAGGGTGAATAAGTTGCTCAAAGGGTTTGGTTTGTTTGACTCAGTGCACTAGCTTAAAATATTACAAATATAGCAATTTTAGTCCCCAATCAAACAGAGTCTACCGGACTATGTGAAAAACCATTCTAGTTGTATGAGAGTAAAACTATAGTTTGTGTTTTTGAGTAGCACAAGACAATTCACTGTCCTCTGTCTCCACAGGCTTCTTCAGGAGGAGGGATTTCTGAAAAGTCCAATAATGTCTATAATTAAATATGAAACCTTTGTTAATGATGTAGCTGCACCTGGAGAGCCATGGTTTTCAAAGTTTTCTCAAAGTAAAGCACATTGTCTGTGATGTTGCTTTTCTGTTGTCAGTGCTGAGCTTCACAAACCTTAAAGAACAAAGAGACAGTCAGTCAACCACAGCAGGGTTGACTGACATTGTTTTGATTTCTGTAAAGCCCAGCAGAGTGATTTGTGTGAAATGTAGGTTGACTACTGCCCCCTGGTGGCTAACTGCTCCACTTCTTTAAAATAACAGCACAGTCAGAGAATCTTCTGAATCTATTTTACAAAGTCAAAACAGCTAAATGCGCTACAGATGTCACACATCAAACGGGAGGAGTAAGGAAAACGTAGATGTATAACAGTTGTACATGATGAGAATATTGCTTCGTAAGAGTTTTGAAGGTTTGTCTTTATTAAACCTTGGGTGTCTGATTTGGTCTTACTGTTGAACATAGAGTTAAAACAAAGAACAAAGGTGAGATTGAAATTGTTGGGTGAGGTTTTAAGGAAAAAAGATGATTCTGGTATGGAATTTAAACAGGCCTCAAAATAATTTAAAATTAGACCTTTTCCTAGAGGAAATACGTCGATATGTTGAGGACTTCCAAAGCAACTGCCAACTCTGACCAAACTGTGCAAACACCACAAATCCAGATATATACGAGATGCCGTCTGAAAAGTTGCCCAGTCAAAAATGAACAGCAATAATTTGGGTTACTTATCCTGTCATCAGAGAAAATATATATTTTCACCAAGTTATACATATATTTCTAAATGTCACCATTTCAAACCATTTAATTAGTTTGATGAGACATAAATATTTAACTTAGAGATAAATATTTAGCTAACATACAGAAATAATTTATTTATCCTGAAGAGGGAAATTTATGTAGTAGCACCAACAGTTGTACAATAAATTGTTAAAAAGCTGAAATTAAAATACACACACATATGTACATATACACACATACATATACAAAATGCCAATGCTACACATGGTATCAGAGTATTAAAACAAGTATTAAGGAGTTTATAAAGGTCCTAGCTTTTATTTTGGTAGTCCACCTACCTGTAGCCCACAGGTAAGTGGACTACAGGTTGAATGCTATGTAATGTATGTAATGTGTTAACTAAATATATAGACATCTTGCTAACTATATACTTCGAACTGTATATTTAGGTTGTAAACTGAACACTTAGCTTGTAATAGCTTGGCTCATTAAATGTCTCCAAATATTTATTTTGAAGCTAAATATTGCTCATTGTTGGAAGCTCCATGCTGTGTTTCTTTTAGTCTCACTGAAGCTGAACAAGCATGACGTCATCCCGGTAAATTCCTCCAGTGTGCTTCGAACATTTTCTGCCTTTTCCTTCTTGATGACTGTTTTATGGAAAATGTGCTGCACGGTGGCTGACTGCAGGTAAATGTGAGCGTTGAACCCAGGTTTGCCTACATGGAGAACTCTGTTTTCTAAGCAAATATCTTTATTATAAGACACCACTCAATCTTCATGATGATGCAGAGATTTTTTTTATATATATAAACAAGTTATTTGAGTCTAGCAGGTTGTGAAAAAGTTCTATATTTTTTGTCACTTACTTCAGGCACAGAGTAAATTTCAAGTCTTTATTTTTAAAGGGTGTGTGATGATGAGAGTCTCACCTGATTGTATTATTTTATCACACTGAAATTAGGACAAAATATAGAAGTGGAGGAAGATTATGCAAAATAACAGGGACAGTAGCAACTGAAAAACACTTTATGATGTTCACAAATGAATTGGACATTTATGTTTTCTACTAACAGAGTAACTGGGCTGGGAGGGTGTTGGAGGGGGCAGAGGGACAAGGGCCAGACATTTTGGTTTTGTTGGGGACAACATAATCAGAACTGGGATGTTTCAGAGAAGAAGGCTCAGGTCTGCAGAGAGAAGGAGCAATTAGGGAGGAAGGTTATCTATGTTAAGATGTTAAGGTCCTACAGGTCAGAGACGGAGGCTGTAATCTTAAGCGATATCAATACTATTTCATGGCACAACTCTCAAAATATTTGAAAAAGTCCCATTAAAACAAATATGAACAGCTGTGTTTCCATTAAATATAGAATTGTGCTGTAGTGATAAAAAAGGACTGGATGCCTTTTAGTATTTGCTCAACGAAGGAGATGAAAGAACCTATGAGAAATATATAACACCAAATTTTGCAACATTCTGAAATTTTATCCAAAATGAGTTGGAATATCTCACAGCAAATAAATAAAAACTGCAATATCCTCAACAGTCGGTACAAGTTAAACGAAAATATTCCTAAATGCAAATGAACCCATCGCCATGCATCATTTCTAGAAAGTGGAACAATCCATGACGTTTGTCTTTAGACTCACTGAACAAACTCAAACCTTTCTAGGTAAATCCCACTTATCCCTCATAGTTCTAATGACTGTTTTAGGAAAAAGTGTTTCACAGTGACTTAGTGTAGGGAAATGTTAGTAATGAAGTCATCATCCAGGTTTGTCTTTGAATTCTCTTTTCTAAGATGATGCCAGGCTTTAAAGAAATGACACTGCACACAACTTCGATGAGAAGGACATTTTTCTGAAACATGAGGTGTTTGAGTCCAGCCCAAACCTGCTTTCCTTCCACTCGAATTGGGAGCTGCTAAAGTTACATCTTCATACATTTCTGTGGTTTTAAAACCTCTGTCCCTCTTGAGCCTTTGGACTATCTTTAGATTTATTAGTATTGTCCATCTACGGTCAGAACAGCATAACTTAAAGAGAAACAAGCAGTGATGTGAGAGTGAGAAATTTGTTTAATTTCCCCCCCCATATTTAGTTATTTCAATCAATCCCCGTTGCAGAAATCTTTTACCACTGAACTGAAATATTTTATCTGGAGATAACATTTTAGACATTAAACCTGTCATGTTCCGTGTTTCTGTGTGTTTATTTTTGAGTTTCTGTGTAGTCCTGTGAGTCTGTCTCTGCGTCCTCCCCGTTGATTGTTTCCCAGGTGTGTCTCATTCCCTTGATTACCCCGTGTGTATTTAAACCCACCTGTTGTCTTTGTTTGTCAAGCGTATGCTGCTGTGTCAGTCTGTAGAACTGCCAAGTCCTGGTTTGTGCTTGCTCTCTTTTTGTCCTTATTGTCAATTGCTACTGGCATTCAGCTGTGTGCTTGTTTCCTGCCGTGCTGCCTTTCCTGGACTGTGTACCGAGCATTATCATCATTAAACCATCATTATCATCTTCATACCTGGGTCTCTGCGTTCTCTCCTCACCACCAAACACACCACGCTTCCTGACAAAGCTAGGTTTTGTTTTAAAGGGTCATAAAACAGAATTATCATAATTGCAAAGATGTTTTTGAGATCAGAGTTATGAGGGTGCAGAAGTCTGCTTTAGTCCCAGCCGTTCTAACGTCATCTCATCAGGTTTATTTCTGTATTTAAAAAACTAAAATTAGCAAAATGGAATGACGATGCAAATAACCTCAATAAGTAATGTTGGGCAGGTATGTAGGCACATTAGCAGGACTCTGGAGAACATAACTGCATACTGAGGAGGCAGCCACACTAACAGTGGTGAACCAGCGGCAGCTTAGCAGAGAGATATAGGGGAAGGTGTGAGCAGCTCATACACAGAGGTGATTGACAGCTCAAAGTCCCTTCTTCTGGCTGTGACTGGTTGTTTCTGACAGTTTTAACAGAGTATTAGTTCATATGACAGCTGGCAGAAGAGTTCCATTTGTTTCAGATTATCTGTCTCATTCTGTCACAACATAGTAACAGTTTTAACAAATGTGTTAAAAAAAATCTATTTTTAATAAAAGTTACATATTGTAGTTTTAACATCTTAAACACATTATCACTGGAGGTTATAAAAGTAAATCTATTTTGTTAGGCCAAACTTAACACATGAACATCTGACAATCAGGAAGTAAGAAAGTTAAAAGAAGTTTTACAAGCATTACAATTAATTGAACAAATGATTACTTTATTGAAATAAATCAGCAACCTAATCACACACTAAACATAAGAGTAAAAGAGAAAAAAAACTATTTGTTTTAAACAAACTGATACAGAACACCTGCAGAAAAAAATATGTCTTAACATCTATTCATGAAGGTCTAACAGGATTTATTACAGATTATGTTCCATCACTTTTTTGCGTTTCACCCACAGAACTAGTGCTTATTTCAAATAAAACAGAAATAACTTGTCACACTTAACATTCATATCTAAACATTCTTGTCTCTGACAAGCAGGTAAACAGTCTAAGTCAATACAGGTTAATTTATCTGTGGTTCTGAAAGTTAGTCTCTTTTACGTCTTCATATCATGGATGATCCACTGTAGAACTAGGCTCGCCGTTTTAATCACAGCTTTTAAAGCTTATAAAAGAATGGAGATGATTAACTCCTAACATGTTCAAGCCAAAAAACACATATTGTACATATCAGATATATTTACTGTATATCAGAAATTTGCAACCTTTTCACACTCTTAAATTCATCTGTACATACACTTATATCTTAAATTTGTTTTAGTTTGTCATGCCGTTGCTTTAGTTTACCCTGTATCTGTATAAAATGTATTTTACCAATGTGTTTTCTTATATGACTCGGATCAAATGGATGGTGTAGACAAGTGGATGTTGGCATTTGTAAATATATTTTTTACAACTAATTTAGTGAACATTTTCCTGTGTTAAAATCTGACAATAAACAATAAATCTAGCGTTTATATCTTAAAGAAAAGGCACCACTGCTTGTCCTTCTTTCTTGAAGACTTCACCATCAGGCTGCTCTCTCCACTTCAGGGTGATCTCATTCCCTCCGTTCTCCTCCAGCCTGTCCTGGAGCTAGGAAATGTAAATAGCAAACATTTTAAAAAACATGTTTACAAAATAAACAAAAAAAACAACAACCTTGAATTCCAAGCATGATTAACACAACCAAATATCGAGCCCTAAAAATCCCAGCCTTGCCTTTTTAAGGATGCTGTCTTTCAGAACAGCGTCGTTGAGGTTCACTGAGTTCTCAGTCTTCAGTCTCACCTTCACGCTCTGCTTCTTTACTAGTTTGAAATGAAAAAGAGATTAAAGTTGTGACTAGTAGTCACTCACCAGTTTGTGGTGTGCAAATTAAGTAAGTGCCATGAATTCAGCCTGTTTATGCCTGTTACCCGACACATAAAGTTTAGAAGGTGGAAGTGCACATCAGCTTTTACCATGAAGTTTTTGTGATTATTTTAGAGGATAAATAAAAATAAAAATCAGTCTAAAAATCTCATCATTGAAACACTTACCTATGGGGTCGTGGTAGCAGACAACAGGTAATTCGTTTTCACAGGACAAAAACCTCCATTTTCCCTTATTGCTTACAGATGTTGTGGCACAGATAAGAGTCATTGAGTCGATTGGATTGTAGACATTATCCCAGTTGGTGAACGAGACATTGCTGCCATCAGACCAGAAGAAGTTTGAATATCTAAAGAGACCAATCCACAAGAAGACTCCAAAAGACACCAATTTCTCGACCATCTGGTTCTGTTCATCACTGCTTACTGTAGCCAGATCTACAAAGTTCTCCCTGCAGTACATCTGGGCATCGGACCAATTCATTCCTTTGTTCACATAAACATATTCAGGATCCAGTTGTGTGCCTGTTGTTTAAAACAAGTAAGAGGGTCAGTAAGTGGTTGACATCTTATTTTAGAATAATGCTTCTGAGAAATCCTGCTACACATTGCTTACCATTGTAACAGAGAAACGAGTAACCCTCTGAACAGTAATCGTCCCACCACAATCCAGAACTTCCAACAGACACACAGAACTGACTGGCTCCATTAAAATTTGGCTCATTAAAATAGATTTCCCAATTGCTGTAGTTAGCACCGGCCCCTGTGAAGCCATCAGACCACCTCCAGTGGATTACACTGTAGAGACCAATCCAGGCTTCAGAGCTGTGCCTAGCAGATGAAAGCGTGTCCAAGAGCCGGGTCAGTTCTTCAGAGTCCTGGATGGTGACGATGTCAGTAAGCGTTTGTCTGCAGTAGGCCTGAGCTTCAGTCCAAGTCAGAGATAGATTAACAAAGTGGTACTGACGGGAAAGGCTGCTAGAGAAGATGAGGCAGGCTGCAAAAAAGTAGGCATTTTAAAATTTTGAAAATAGTCAATGTTTATCTTTACTAGAAATGTACATGAAAATATCTGACCTGAAAGAAATAAGACTAGCAAGATCCTCTCCATGGTGAGTCGACGCTGTGGACTGCAGAAGAAAACGCCGACTTTCTCAGAGCAGTCTGGGAAAATGACAACCCTTCTGTGTGCTTTTTGACTATTTGTCTTTTGGTATGCAAAGCATGTTGCAGCAGCAGGCTCCAAGAAAATGTTTGAATTGAAACTACGGACAAGATTTGCAACTTGAGTTCATCGTATCTATGCTTCATAACCAAATGAGCTACATAAAAGAAACAACTCACACCTGTATGCATCGTTATCCACAGCACAATGCAAAACCCTAGAGCTGCAATTTTGTTAGATATACATACTCATTTAGGATTTGTAAACATTCAAAAATTTTACTAAGATGCTATATACAGACATAAACAGCTTTGTAGCCCTAAATCATGGAAAAAGGTAACAGATTAAACATTCATAAAATAATCTGTCAATGTTGTAGAAGTCCACCATAGATATTTGTAATGGTTGAAGAGATGATGATGATGTGATAAGCAAGCCAGCAGTAAGAGTCACTTGGTGGATGATACGATTCTTCTCTAGAAAAATCTAGATCAAATCCCTTTAGCTCTTTAAACTCTGGACTTCAACTAAACTTAAATAAATGTGAGCTGTTTTCCCTGAAGATCATCAACTAAAATACTTGTGTGGTGATAACAAGGAAGAATTCTTGGAACAAATGACAACTGTAAGTTGATTCTAAGTAGGAACAGACAGATATTTTAGATCTATACATCTACATTCTCGCCTAAAAACTTTGTAAAAAATA